TTACTACTCTGAAATATAGCAATTTCCTTTTATTGAATCAGAATACGAGTGGAAGTGGAAATTTGGATCTTGAGATGAATCAGTCCCCTCATCTTTTCTTGTTACAACCATAGAGTGGACCTATCAGTTTTGGATTTGATATTTTGACTTCCATCTTTAATGCTAATTTTGTTATCATGTTTCTCCTCGCTCAACTTATTTGGTTTGGTCATCATTGGATGTCATTCTTAGCTGTCGAGACTACATGGACGGGCATCTAGGTCCACGTTGGTCTACTGGAATAAGTGTCTTGCTTCAATGTTTGTCTTGGGAAAGATGCAGCAGTTCCCAGGTTTTTGACTATAGGTATTGGATTTTTCAGTCTCTCGAAGTTTTGTCAAAACTGCTTATGGAAGTTCTCAACTATGATAATTATCTTCACTTGTGTTGTATAGCCATTCTGCTGCCAGTTTTAGTTCATAGTTCAGATGCGCATGTTCTTTGACGATCCTGCTATCTCTTGTGGTGTTATGGGCACTGGATAAGTAGTCAAAAGTCTAATTCTGGATCTCAGATAGTATTGTGAAGTGATCGTCTGCCTTTTGTGTCCTAGCTACTTACCTCTCTTTGCTTCCATTTTCCCTTGGTTATCACGCCTGCTTGATTTTGTTTGTTGGTGAATATGTGCGTAGACCACGTGGTGACATCAATGGAGGATTAGTTTTGGAGACTTTAAAGGCTTGTGTCCAGTATGCATTCTTGTGCACCTGTTTCTTGGTCTTTTTGGTGCTTGCACTCTAAGATGGATATTGTCAGGCTTTAGACTAAAAATGGAGTTTTTCAATTGTCTCTTGCATCTCTAATGATTTCTTAGGTGACAAGGGTTTTGTCAGCTTTGCACTGAACTGTTCCCTTCTTTCTGTGCCTGCAGTTGGGTCTAAGTCTAACCGAGTAGTGGATTGTTCTTTTCATGGAGGGCTTTGTTTGGACATTTGTGTTGAGGTTTTCATTAGTTCAGGTTTTGTGAGTACTGGGATTCTCATTTCAGTTTTCTTCCCCAATTAGAGTGGTCCCTCTTCTCTTTGTCAAAAATTGCTGCTATATGGAAGTTCCCAGCTAGAATAGTTTTTCTTGCACTAGTGTGTGCTATATTCTGCTGCTGTTTTTTGTTCAGATGCTTGTGTTCTTCGCCAATTAATGAGATCAACCTGGGGGTTGATGGGTATATGGTCTAATTGACAGCTGATAAGTAATCAAAACTCAATCCAAACTCAATCCAAACTCAATCCTAGATCTCTTGACAGCCCCGTCAAGTGGGTTCGTCTCTTTTGGTAGTATATTCTTGCTGCTTATCTTCTCGGCTTCCTGTTTGTTGTGTCACCCCAGCTTGATTTTATTTGTTGGATGGATTACAGTGAAAAGGATTAGATTTGGAAAATTTCGAAGGTTGATGCCCAGTGCCCAGGAAGCCTGTTTCTCTGCCATTTTAGTGCTGGCACTGGAATCTCAATATTATCAGGCAAGATAGAGGTGTTTCTCAATCGTGATACTTTGCCATTTTGTGCTTGCACCGCAATCTGAATATTATCAGTCTTCGAGAGAGGTGTTTTTCAACCCTGTCTTTGCATTTTTTAGTGGGTTTCGTCAGCTTTGCGAGTAACTCTTCCCTTCATTCCTTTGCTTGCAGCCATTGGGTCGTACAAAGCAGTAGATTCTTCTTTTCATGGAGTGACCTTGTTTGTCCATATGATTTGAGGCCTTTTTAGTTTAGTCTTTTATAAGTATCGATAAGTTTCAATTCAGTTTTCTTCCCTCATGGCTCCTCTTATCTTTGTGAAAACTACTGTTGTATGGAAGTTTCTCAATTAGGATATTATTTTGACCAGTGTGTTGTATTTTTCTGCTGCCATGAAGTTCTTAGTCCAGACGCATATGTTCTTCAATGATCCAAGTGATGAGGTTTCCTATTGTGATGGGGTCTTTTGTGGCTGTGGACACCTGAATAAGTACTCGGCCAATTCTAGATCTTCTGATAGTGACAGATACGTAAATACTTGTTTACTTTTGGTCTTCTAGCTACTTACTTATCTTCTGTGCTTCCATTTTTTTCTTTTCATTATCACGCTAGTTTGTTTTGGTTGGATAGATATGTAGCCATATGGTGGTACTGTTATGGACATTCAGATTTGGAAATTTCAAAACTTGGTTATAACCAACATGTGATCCTCTGTAACCTTTTGGTCTTTGGTGCCTGCACCGCAATTTGGATTTCCAGGCTTTGACATAAGGGGTTTTTTAGTCTTGTCTATGGCATATTTAGTGATTACGAGGGTGGTTTTGGGGTTCGTCAGATTTGCACATAATTGTTCCTTTCTTTCAATTCTTGCAGCCATTGAACCACAGGGCAGTGGATTATTCTTTTCATGAAGCGGCCGTGTTTATCCGTTTGTGTTGAGGTTTCTTTAGTAGAGTCTTTTATGAGTATTTGAGATTTTTGATTCTGTTTTCTTTCCTTATGGATCCCTTTTCTCTGTCAAAACTATTGTTGTATGGATGTTTTTTGACTAAGATAATATTTTCTTACAAGTGTGTGTTGTGTTCTGCTGCCATGAAGATTTTAATCCAGACTCTTTGTTCTTCAATGATCCAACAGATGAGTTCTCTCCTCATTATGGTTATAGTCACTTGATAAGTACTCGGTTTGTGGATCTATCTCTCCATAAAGTGCTGCTCTACTTCTGGTCCTCTTGCTACATATATTCTTTGCTGCCATTTTTTGTTGGATGGATGTGTAGACTATATGGTGAAAATATTAGAGGTTAGAATTTGGAGATTTCAAAGGTTGATACGCAGTATAGTATCTCTGTACCCTCTTGGTCTCTTTGGTTCTTGCATTGCAATCTGGATATATTGGTCAAGGCTTCAACAAAGAAGGGTTTTTAAATCTTGTCTAAATCTCATCTCTAGTGATTTCTTAGTTGGTGTGGGTTTCGTCAACGTTGGTCTTGATTGTACCCTTCTTTTTGTGCCTGCAGCCATTGGGTCTTACAGAGCAGTGAATTATTCTTTTCATGGAGTGGCGTTGTTTGTCCATACATGTTGAGGTTGCCTCAGGCTTTTATGAGTACTGGGATTTTCATCTAAAATAGTTTTTGTTTTTCACTAGTGTGTGTCATATTCTACTGTCATATTGGTTTTTTGTCGAGATGCTTCTTTTCTTTAATTATCCAACTGATGAGACTCCAGATGGTTGATGGTTATGGTCTTATGGACACCTGACAAGATCTCAATTTGGATCTCTTGAAAGCCTCATAAATGGTCCTCTCTTTTGGTGTTCTCGCTGCTCATTTTTTCTGCTTCCTTTTTCTTGTATTACGCCAGCTTGATTTTGTTTGTTGGATGGATGTATGGTGAAAGTTGAGGGGATCAGACTTGTTGGAGGATTTTGAAGGTTGGTGTACAGTGTGCATCCCGTGCACCCTGTTTCTTGGCATGTTAGTGCATGCACTACAATCTTCATACTATCAGAGGCTTTGAAAGAAGGCGGTTCTCAATCTTGTCTTGCATTTCTAGTGAATTCTAGGTGGTACGGGCTTCACCAACTTTGCACTTAAAAGTATTCCATTCTTTCTGTGCTTGCAGCTGTTGGGTCTTTCAAAGCTGTAGATTCTTCTTTTCATGGAGCGGCCTTGTCTGTCAATTTGTGTTGAGGTTTTTTTGTCGATGCTTTAATGATTATTGAGATCTTCAATTCAGTTTTCTTCTGTAATCAGAATGGTTCCCTTCTCTCTTTGTCAACACTGCTTCACTATTGCGTATTTTGTTGCCATTTTTTAAAGTAATCCAGATGCTTATGCTTGTTAGTGATCCAACTGATGAGATCTCCATGGTTATGGACAGTCGATGAATGTATTCAAACTCAGTCTTGGATCTTTTGATAGCCCTGCAACACCTTTATTTTCATGTTCTCGCTGCTTACCTCCTTTGCTTTCATTTAGCTTACCAGTTGATTTAGTTTGGTTGGATGAATGTTTGTAGGCCACATGGTGCTGATATGATGATAGTAGGAGGATAAGATTAAATTTTGTAATTTGGTTTCGATGTGCCCTGTGAACCCTATTTCTTGCCATTCTGGTGCTTGCACTGCAATCTGGATGGTAGGATATCACCAGACGCTTCAAGAAATGGTCCCTTTGCAATGTTATATTGTTTGGCATCTCTAGTTGTCTTGCTGTGTGGTATGAGTTTCCCATGTTTTACACCTACCTGTTTTGTTATTTTTGTGCATGCAACTGTTGGGTCTTCTACAGAATGAACTCCAGTTCAGTTTTTTTCTTGATAAGTGGGACCCTTTTCTCTTTGTCAAAACTACTGTTGTGTGGAAGTTCTCAATAATGGTTATATTTTCAACCAGTGTGTGTTTTATTCTGCTTTCCATTTGTTGTATCACCCTATGTTGCTGCTCGGACTCTTCAAAATGTCAACGGGTGCGTGTCGGATTCGCCAAATGTAGTGTGTTTTTGGAGAATCCGACACGGGTGCGGCATTAAAAGTGGAGAGTCCGCGCAACTAAGGTATCATCCCAGTGTGATTTTGTTTGTTGGATGGATGGCAGTTAAGAGGATTAGATTTGGAAAGTTTCGAAGGTTGATGCCCAGAGTCCATTCCTGTGCATCCTGTTTCTTTGCCTATTTCTGTGCTTGTACTGCAATCTGAATATTATCAGGCTTCGACAGAGGGGGTTTCCAATTTTGTTTCTTTGCCATATTTGTGCTTCCACTGTAATCTGAATATTATCAGGCTTTGAGAGGGGTTCTTCAATCTTGTCTGGCATTTTCTAGTGGGTTTCATCAACTTTGCACGTAACTCTTCCCTTCATTCATTTGCTTGCAGCCATTGGGTCTCACAAAGCAGTGGATTTTTCTTCCCATAGAAGGCCTTATTTGTCCATATGTGGTGTTGAGGTTTCTTTAGTTCTGTATTTTACGAGTATGGATAATTTTCAATTTAGTTTTTTTTCCCTAATGACTCATTTGTCTTTTCAAAACTACTGTTGTATGGAAGTTTCTCAATTAGGACATTATTTTTCACCAGTGATTGTATTCTGCTACCGTGAAGTTCTTAGTCCAGACACATATGTCTTAGATGGTCCAATTGATGAGGCCTCTTATGGTGATGATGAAGTCTCTTATGGCTATGGACACCTGATAAGTACTCGGCCAATGGATCTTTTGATAGTGGCGTAAAATACTTTGTTTGTTTTGTTCTTCTAGCTACTTACTTATCTTCTCTGCTTCCATATTTTTTTGTTATCACACTAGTTTTTTTGGTTTGATGGATGTGTAGACCGTACGGTGACACTGTTATGGACGTTCAAATTTGGAAATTTCAAAGGTTGGTTAACCAACATGCGATCCTCTGCCACCTTTTGGACTTTTTGGTGCTTGCACTGCAATCTGGATATTGTCTGGGCTTCGAAAAGGGGGTTTTCGGTCTCGTCTATGGCATATCTAGTCATTATTTGGGTGGTTTGGGGTTTGTCAGATTTGCACTTAACTGTTCCCTTCTTTCTGTTCTTGCAGCCTTTGGCTACAGGGCAGTTAATTGTTCTTTTCATGAGGCGGCTGTGTTTGTTCATTTGTGTTGAGGTTTCTTTAGTTAAGTCTTTTGTGAGTACTGCAATTTTTAATTTCAGTTTTCTTCCCGTATGGCTCTCTTTTCTCCGTCAAAACTATTGTTGCATGAAAGACTGACAGTTTCTCAACTAAGATAATATTTTTCACCAGTGTGTGTTGTGTTCTGCTGCCATGAAGTTTTACCAGTAAGTACTCGGTCAATTCTGGATCTTACTTTTTGACAGTGCCATAAAGTGCTCCTCCACTTCTGGTCTTCTAGCTACATATGTTCTTTCCTGCGATTTTCTTTCGGTTGTCACAGCTTCTTATTTTTGATGGATGGATGTTTAGACTATAAAGGAGATAGTTGACAATTCGAAGTTACACATTATCCCTTTCCTGCAATGGATCCGGTAGAAAAAGGGCTCCTAAATTTTTACCGTCCGTTATTTCATATGTGACGACAGGTCGAACTATATGGTGGCAGTATTAGAGGTTAAAGATTTGGAGATTTCAAAGGTTGATGTCCAGTATGGTATATGTGTACCCTCTTGGTCTTTTTGGTTCTTGCACTGTAATATGGACATATTGGTCAAGGCTTCAACAAAGAAGGGTTTTTTAATCTTGTCTATATGGCATCTCTTAGTGATTTCTTAGGTGGTAAGGGTTTTGTCAGTTTTGGACTTGATTGTACCCTTCTTTTTGTGCTTGCAGCCATTGGGTCTTACAGAGCAGTAAAATATTCTTTTGATGGAGAGGTTTTGTTTGTCCAATTTCTGTGGAGGTTTCCATGGTTCAGGCTTGTATGAGTACTGAGATTTGCAACTAATTTTTTTTCAACTAGTGTGTGTCATATTCTATCATCATTTTTGGTTTTTCGTTTAGGTGCTTATTTTCTTCAATTTTCCAACTGATGAGATTCCTGATGGTTGATGGTTATGGTTTTGTGGACACCTAACAAGTAATCAATTTTGGATCTTTTGATTCGTTATTGGTGTTTGGTTGAAGGTCTGGGTAATAATGATAGGAGAATGATTATGGGTACCTTTCCAGTGCAAATATTTAATTTGTTCCCATTTTCTTGGTGTACCTTCGATTGATTTCCAATGTTTTTATTTTAGAAATTGGAAGCTGGTATGGTAAGGTCCATTTTGGATGCAGTTTTGGGGGAAATCGAGTATTGCTTCCAGGTTTTGGAAAATTCTGAGGTTTTTGTTGTGAGAAATCGTGTGTTGTGTACATTATTTTGTCACCCTATTTACTACTCTAAAACCTAGCAATTTCCTTCTGTTGAATCAGAATATGAGTAGAAGTGGGAATTTAGATCTTGAGATGAACGAGTCCCATCGTCTTATGTTGTCATAACCATAGAGAGGAGCTATCAGTTTGGATTTGATATCTTGACTTCCATCTTTAATGTTAATATTGATGCTTATCATGTTTCTCCTCGCTCAACTTATTTGGTTTGGTCATCAGTGGATGTCATTCTTAGCTGTCAAGAATACATGGATGGGCATCTAGGTGCAAGTCGTTCTACAGGAGTAAGTGTCTTGCTTTGGTGTTCGTCTCGGGAAGGATGCAACAGTTCCCAGGTTTTTGACTATAGGTATTGGATTTTTCAGTCTCTCGAAGTTTTGTCATTACTGCTTATGGAAGTTCTCAATTATGATATTTCTCTTCACTTGTGTGTGTAACGCTGCCAGTTTTAGTTCATGGTTCAGATGCTCATGTTCTTTGATAATCCTGCTATCTCTTGTGGTGTTATGGGCACTGTATAAGTAGTCAAAAGTCAATTCTGGATCTCTGATAGTGCCGTAAAGTGCTCCTCTGGCTTTTGTGTCCTAGCTACTTATTTTCTCTCTGCTTTCGTTTTCCCTTGGTTATCACACCTGCTTGATCTTGTTTATTGGTGAATGTATGTGTAGACCACATGGTGATATTAATAGAGGATTAGTTTTGGGAACTTCGAATGCTTGTATCCGGTAGGCGTTCCTTTGCACCTTTTTCTGTCTTTTTTGTGCTTGCACTCCAAGATAGATATTGTCAGGCTTCGACTAATGGGGTTTTTCAATATCTCTTGCGTCTCTAGTGATTTCTTAGGTGATAAGGGTTTTGTCAGCTTTGCACTTAACTGTTCCCTTCTTTCTGTGCTTGCAGCCTCCTTTCTGTGCTTGCAGTTGGGTCTAACCGAGCAGTGAACTATCCTTTTCATGGAGGGGCTTTGTTTGGACATTTGTGTTGATGTTCTTCTACTTCAGGTTTTATGAGTACTGAGATTCTCATTTCAGTTTTCTTCCTCAATCAGAGTGGTCCCTCCTCTCTTTGTCAAAAATTGCCGTTATATGGTAGTTCCCAGCTAAATTAGTTTTTCTTGCACTAGTGTGTGTTGTATTCTGCTCTGCCATTTTTAGTTTGTAGATCGGATGCTTGTGTTCTTCGATGATCCAATTGATGAGATTACGAGATTCCTGGTTGGTTGATGGGTATATGGTCTTATTGACACCTGATAAGAAATCAAAACTCAATCCTAGATCTCTTGACAGCCCCATCAAGTGGGTCCGTTCTCTGCTTCCTGTTTGTTTCACCCCAGATTGATTTTATTTGTTGGATGGATGACAGTAGAGGATTAGATTTGGAAAATTTTGAAGGTTAATGCCCAGTGTCCATTCTTGTGCAACCTGTTTCTATGCCATTTTTGTGCTGGCACTACAATCTGAATATTATTAGGCGAGATAGAGGGGTTTCTCAATCTTGATTCTTTGCCAGTTTTGTGGATGCACCGCAATATGGATATTATCAGGATATGAGAGGGGTTTTTCAATCTTATCTTGCATTTTCTAGTGGGTTTCGTCAGCTTTGCAAGTATTCTTTCCTTTATTCCTTTGCTTGCAGCCATTGGGTCTTACAGAGCAGTGGATTCTTCTTTTCATGGAGTGATCTTGTTTGTCCATATGAGTTGAGGCCTTTTAAGTTCAGTCTTTTATGAGTATCGATAATTTTCAATTCAGTTTTCTTCTCTCATGGCTCCTCTTATCTTTGTCAAAACTACTTTTGTATGGAAGTTTCTCAATTAGGATATTATTTTTGACCAGTGTGTTGTATTTTTCTGCTGCCATGAGTTCTTTGTCCAGAAGCATATGCTCTTGGATGATCCAAGTTGTGAGGTGTCCTATGGTGATGAGGTCTTTTGTGTGGGCACCTAAAGAAGTACTCGGCCAATCCTAGATCTTTTTATAGTGATGTAAAATACTTCTTTACTTTTGTTCTTCTAGCTACTTATTATCTTTTGTCTTCCATTTTTTTTATATTATCATGATAGTTTGTTTTGGTTGGATAGATGTGTAGCCATATGGTGGTGGTACTGTTATGGACATTCAGATTTGGAAATTTCAAAGCTTGGTTATAATCAACATGTGATCCTCTGTCACCTTTTGGTCTTTGGTGCTTGCACTGCAATTTGGATTTCCGGGCTTTGACATAAGGGGGTTTTTAGTCTTGTCTATAGCATATTTAGTGATTACATGGGTGGTTTCGGGGTTTGTCAGATTTGCACTTAACTGTTTCTTTCTTTCAATTCTTGTAGCCATTGAACCATAGGGCAGTGGATTATTCTTTTCATGAAGCGGCCGTGTTTATCCGTTTGTGTTGAGGTTTCTTTAGTAGAGTCTTTCATGAGTATTGAGATTTTCGATTCTGTTTTCTTTCCTTATAGGTCCCTTTTCTCTGTCAAAACTATTGTTGTATGGATGTTATTTTGACTAAGATAATATTTTCTTGCAAGTGTGTATTGTGTTCTGCTGCCATGAAGCTTTTAATCCAGACAATTTGTTCTTCAATGATCCAACTGATGAGTTCTCTCCTCATTATGGTTATAGTCACTTGATAAGTACTCGATTTGTGGATCTATCTCTTCATAAAGTGCTTCTCTACTTCTGGTCTTCTAGCTACATATGTTCTTTGCTGCCATTTTTTTTGTTGGATGGATGTGCAGACTATATGGTGACAATATTAGAGGTTAAGATTGGGAGATTGATAAGGTTGATATCCAGTATGGTATCTCTGTACCCTCTTGGTCTTTTTGGTTCTTGCACTGCAATTTGGATATATTGTCGGGGCTTAAACGAAGAAGGGTTCTTTAATCTTGTCTATGTGGCATCTCTAATGATTTCTTTGGTGTGGGCTTTCATCAACTTTGAACTTGATTGTACCCTTTTTTTTGTGCATGCAGCCATTGGGTCTTAAAGAGCAGTGAATTATTCTTTTCATGGAAGCCACTTGTCCATTCATGTCGAGGTTGCCTTAGTTCAGGCTTTTATGAGTACTGGGATTACAACTAAAATAGTTTTTGTTTTTACTACTGTGTCATTTTACTGTCATTTTTGTTTTTTAGTCCAGATGCTTAGTCTCTTTAATTATCCAACTGATGAGATTCCAGATGGTTGATGGTTATGGTCTTATGGACACCTGACAAGTACTCGCTGCTCATTTTTTCTTCTTCCTTTTTGTTGTATTATGCCAGCTTGATTTTGTTTGTTGGGTGGATGTATGGTGAAAGTTGAGGGGATTAGGCCTGGAGGATTTTGAAGGTTGGTGTACCGTTTTGCATCGTGTGCACCCTGTTTCTTGGCCATGTTAGTGCATGCACTACAATCTGGATACTATCAGAGGCTTCGAAAGAAGGCGGTTCTCTATCTTGTCTGGCATTTCTTGTGAATTCTAGGTGGTACAGGCTTCACCACCTTTGCACTTAACTGTTCCATTTTTTCTGTGCTTGCAGCCGTTGGGTCTTACAGAGCCGTAGATTCTTCTTTTCATGTAGCGGCCTTGTCTGTCAATTGTGTTTGAGGTTTTTTGATTGATGCTTTAATGATTATTGAGATCTCCAATTCAGTTTTCTTCCACTATCAGATGGTTCGCTTTTCTCTTTGTCAACACTGCTTCACTAGTGTGTATTTTGTTACAGTTTTTTAAGTAATCCAGATGCTTATGTTTTTTAATGATCCAACTGATGAGAACTCCATGGTTATGGACACTTGATGAGTATATTCAAACTCAGTCTTGGATCTTTTGATAGCCCTGTAACGCACTCTACTTTTGTGTTCTAGCTGCTTAACTTCTCTGCTTTCGTTTAGCTTACCAGTTGATTTAGTTTCGGTTGAATGAGTGTTTGTAGGCCACATGGTGGTGATATGATAGTAAGAGGGTAAGATTTGTGAATTTTGTGCTTTGGTTTCGATGTGCATCCCTGTGGACCCTATTTCTTTCCATTCTGGTGCTTGCACTGCAATCTGGATGATTGGGTATCACCAGGCTTCAAGTAATGGGCGCTTTGCAATGTTGCATTGTTTGGCATCTCTAGTGATCTCTCTTCGTGGTATGAGTTTCCCATGTTTTGTACTTGTTTCGTTCTATTTGTGCATGTAATCATTGGGTGTTCCACAGAATGAACTTTTGTTCAGCTTTTCCTTAATCAGCGTGTCACTTTTCTCTTTGTCAAAACTACTGTTGTGTGGAAGTCCTCAATAATGGTAATATTTTCAACTAGTATGTGTTGTACTCTGCTTCCAGATTGATTTTGTTTGTTGGATGGATGGCAGTTAAGAGGATTAGATTTGGAAAGTTCCGAAGGTTGATGCCCAGTGTTCATTGTGCACCTTGTTTCTTTGCCATTTCTGTGCTTGCACTTCATTCTGTATTATCAGTCTTCGACAGATGAGGTCTCTGCTTATAGACACCTGATAAGTACTCCGTCAATTTTTGATCTTATAGTTTGACAGCGCCATTAAGTGCTCCTGTACTTCTGGTCTTCTAGCTACATATGTTTTTTCCTGCCATTTTCTTTTGGTTGTCAACTTTTTATTTTTGTTGGATGGATATGTAGACTATATGGTGGCAGTATTACAGGTTAAAGATTTGGAGATTTCAAAGGTTGATGTCCAGTATGCTATCTCTATACCCTGTTGGTCTTTTTGGTTCTTGCACTGCAATCTGTACCCTCTTGGTATTTTTGGTTCTTGTACTGCAATCAGAACATATTGATCAGGGCTTCAACAATGAAGGGGTTTTTTAAATCTCGTCTATATGGCATCTCTAGTGATTTCTTAGGTGGTATGGGTTTTGTCAGTTTTGGACTTGATTGTACCCTTTTTTTTGTGCTTGCAGCCATTGGGTCTTATAGAGTAAAATATTCTTTTGATGGAGCGGCTTTGTTTGTCCAATTTATGTCGAGGTTTTCATGGTTGAGGCTTGTATGAGCACTGAGATTTTCAACTAAATAATTTTTTTTGGTCATATTCTATCGTCGTTTTTGGTTTTCAGTTCAGATGCTTATTTTCTTCAATTATCCAATTGATGAGTTTTCTGATGGTTATGGTCTTGTGGACACCTAACAAGTACTCAATTTTGAATCTTCTGAAAGCCTCGTAAAATGGTCTTCTCTTTTGTTGTTCTCGCTGCTCATATTCTCTGCTTCCTTTTACTTTTGTATTACACTAGCTTGATTTTGTTTGTTGGATGGATGTATGGTGACAGTTGAGGGGATTAGTTGTGGAAGATTTTGATGGTTGGTGTACTGCATTCTTGTGCAGCATGTTTCTTGTCCATGTTGTTCTTGCACTACAATCTGGATATTACCAAGAGGCTTTGGAAGAAGGCGGTTCTCAATCTTGTCTTGGTATTTCTAGTAAATTCTACGTAGCGTGCTTCACCAGCTTTGCACTTTAACTGTTCCATTCTTTCTGTGCTTGCAGTTGCTGGGTCTTACTGAGCCGTAGATTCTTCTTTTCATGCAGCGGCCTTGTCTGTCAATTTATGTTGAGGTTTTTTGGTTGATGCTTTTAATAATCATTGAGATCTTCAATTCAGGTTTTCTTCCGTAATCAGAATTGTTCCCTTCTCTGTTTGTCAGCCCTGCTTCACTGGTTTATATTTTGTCGCCATATTTTTTCTTTTAAGTAATCCAGATGCAACTTGTGAGATTTTGATGGTTATGGACATTTGATAAGTGTGTTCAAAATTTGGAACTTTTGATGACCATGTAATGCAGTCCTCTACTTTCGTGTTCTCGCTACTTACCATCTCTGTGTTCGTTTAGCCTACTAGTTGATTTATTTTGGTTGGATGAATGAATTTTTGCCACATGGTGATATGATAGTGAAGAGGATACGTTTTGGAAATTTTGTAGTTCGCTTTTGGTGAGCATCATTGTGGACCCTGTTTCTTGCCATTTTGGTGCAATCTGGATAATTGGATATCACATGCTCCAAGAAGAGGGCAGTTTGAAATGCTACATTGTTTGGCATCTCTAGTGATCACCCCTGCGTTGTATGGGTTTCCCATGTTTTGCACTTACCTGTTTCGTTCTTCTTGTGCATGTAACTGTTGGATCTTCCTGAGAATGAACTTCAATTCAGTTTTCTTCTTAATCAGTGGGTCCTTTTTCTCTTTTTGGAAACTACTGTTGTGTGGAAGTTCTCAACATTCAGCACTGATAATATTTTCCACTAGTGTGTGTGTTGTACTCTGAAGTTGTGAAATTTTTGTTCTAGATGCTTATTTTCTTGGATGATCGAACTGATGAGATCCCTGATTGTTATGGACACGTGAGAAGTACATTTTAGATTTTCATATGGACCTAAGAGCTCCTCTACTTTGGTGTGTTCTTGCTACTTATCTTTTCTGCTCCTGTTTTCTTATGTTTATCGTGCCACTTGGTTTTGTTTGTTTGGATGTATCTGTGTAGACCACATGGTGACAGTGAGGGGATCAGATTTGGTAGTCTCGAAGATTGGTTTCAGTGTGTATCCTTGTGCACCATGCTTCTTTGCCATTTTGGTGCTTGCACTGCAATTTGGATATCATCAAGCACCAAGGGAAGGGAGCTTTGCATCTCTAGTGATCTCTTCTAATGTGGCATGGGTTTCACGGCTTTCCACTCGACTGTTCCCTTCTTTTTGTGCTTGCTGTCGTTGGGTCTTTCTCGATCTACTTTCATGGAGCAACCTTGTTTGTCAATTAGCGTTGAGGTTTCCTTGGTCCAGGCTTTATTAGTATCTATCTTTTCGATTTAGTTTTCTTCCTTGTTCATAGAGATCCCTTATCTCGTTGTCAGAAGTGCTGTTATACAGAAGTTCTCAGCTACGACAATTCTTTCCACAAGTGCATTTTCAGGTTTTAGTCCAGATGCTTATGTTTGCTGTGATCCAACTGATGAAGTCTCTTATGGGTGTGGACATTTGGTAGGTACTCGGTAAATTCTAGATCTTTCCATAGCCCTGTAAAGCGCTCATCTACCTTCCGTGTCTTGCTTCTTATCTTCTTTGTTTTCATTTTCTTTTTGCTTATCACTCCAGTTTTCTGTTTCGTCTATTGGAAGGATGTATATACCACATAGAGAACATTATTGGAGGATAGTAGGATCTATATACTACACAGTGAACAGTATGGGGGGATTAGATTTGCAATCTGTAAAGGTTAGTGTTTAGTTAACTGGTCGTTTAGGTGCTTGCACTGCAATCTGGATATTGTTAGTGCTTCGAGAAAAAGGGGGTTTCTAAATATTGTCTACGTCTTCTGTAGTGATTTCCCAAGTGGTTTGGGTTTTGCCAGTTTTGTACTGTTCCTTCTTTCTGTGTTTGCAGTTGTGGTCTTGAAGAAGTAAAATTCTTCTTTCCATGGGGCAGCTTTTGTTTGTTGATTTATGTTAAGGTTTCATTTGGTTCAAGCTGCTGTGAGTGCCGAATTTTCAGTTCAGTTCTCCTCTTGTCAGTATGATATTTTTTTTTACTGTACTCTCTTTGAAACGGTGCTCTTCTTGTAGTGAGTTTAATTGAGAATTTTGCATGTCAGTGGTGCTTACCGCACATGGTCATATCATTCAATTTCTGATTCTTTTATTGGGTGCACTATCTGCAGCCATAATCACTATTTTCAGGCTAATTGTTGGGTAATGAAGCCTCTTTTTTCAAAGTTACCTATTTCAAAATATAATACAAAATTGAAGGCTCTTTTTATTTTTGGAGGTCTCTCCTATTTTTTTCTTGTTTTTTAACATGCCTATTATGTTTCAGATATTCAGTCATTTGAGGAGTTGCTTCAGACTGTCAGCTATTATGTAAAACTTTAATGCAAAAAGAGAGATCTTTCACACTTTTTTTCTCCATGAAACATTGCCATTTGAACAGTCTTTGCATCAAAGAGCTAGCGGCAATTCATTGGATTTAGAGCAGATCAAGTAAAAAACTTGGCTCATCTTTTGTGTAAAAGGTCATATATTCAACACAAAGGTAACTATTTTTTTCTGTGTAAAAGATCGTCTCATGAAATATACCCTTGTAAATCCATCACATATCAGATCATCGTGCAAGTTGGGAATTTTTTCAACAAATCTTGTTATTCTAGATACTCTTCCAAGTTAAGGTTTGCACTAATTTTCTTAATATGGTTGAAATCACCATTGATTATAGGTAACCTTTGTTCTGTCATTCTCTGTGGTGTTGCTATATCATTGGTGTATGTTGAGTCAAATGTCACTTCACAGATGGTATGTTTTGTAAAATGTCACTAACCAGATAAGAGTTTCAAAAAAAATAAATAAAAAAAGTTTCAAAAAAAATGTTACTAACCAGATAGTCTGTTCAGCCAAATGACACTTCACAGATCAGTCACTGATGGTTTCATCACTTGGTTCTCCTCGTGTTCTACTACCAGCTATAGTTCATTTCTTATTTCCGAAATTGTTCCTTGCTCCTTGGGTTTCTTGTATTGGTGATTGAGTAGGAACCTTGCACAAGTAAATGGGGATCTTCTAAGAAGCCCGCCCCAGACCGAGCTGTGACAATTTTGAAAAAATGCTGCTGTCTTTGCCTCCATTCATGGAGTATAACTCTTCATTCACATGTTGCACTTTACGTATGGCTGTTATACTTTGGATATCGTATGATTTTAGAGGAGTTTTCTGTTTTTTTTAAAAATAATTTTTCCTTGTATATAATCTATGAGTATGTTCCACTGTGCTTTGATTTTCTTGGTTGTATCATTAGGAAACAACATTTTGGTGAAGAGGGTTCCGACTATGATTTTAGGTGCAGGTTCTTAGGAGTTCTCTTGGAATTCTTTTGTGAATCAGGTTTCGGTTAAGACCTATCTTCTTTCTCCCCCTTCCCCTAATGGGGGTAGAGCTGGCAGCCTCTTTCTGATGGTTAGAGATGTTGATAGTGGCTCCATGTGTGCAAGATTTTATTCAGGTCTTGCATAATGTGATAATGAGAATGTCTGGTGGTTTTGATTACATGATCTTTATATGTTTGTCTTTGATGGTTTGGTGTTGATATCTCTCTACTTAATCTTGTACTCATTTGTTTCATCGTGTTACTCTATAAACATCCCTGCTTGGTCATAATGGGGAGGGCAGGCAACTCGAGTTCTTTTCTTCTGCCAGTTGTCTTATCTGATCTGGTGGGTTTCAATTTTCTCCCAGGTGCAGGTTTCTTCTCCATGGTTTGTAGCTGTTGGAAGCTTGGTGGTTGGGAGGAGTCTAGGATGATTTTTTTGAGGTTTCTTGCCATTATTATCTGTTCATTTTCCTGATGACCAGAGATGGTTGATGATTTTTTGGGTATTTACAGAATTGGATAAGGTCTGTATTTGTTGGTGCAGTTGTATTCGTAAGTTTTCTGATTTTGCTCTATAATGGTATGGAAAATGAGAAGATCTGTCGGTTGCAGAAAAGAACGTCTAGCAGAATACTTGGCCTCATGTGCTTGGAAGTCCCTGGGTTTGCAGATTTATTTTGAAGTTTGACTTTGCTGTAAATTCTCACTTTTGTTGGTTTCTCACTTTAGGTTATGCCAATTTTTTTCTGGTTCTACTTGTGGTAGTATGATGGTAAGGGTATAGACCATGCAGTTTCTGCTGTTGGGTGTCAATGATCTTTCATTCTTTTGTAACAAAGTAAACCTCACCTCTGGTACCAGCAGCAGATCATCTTTTCTTGCATCTTCTCCTATGGAGCACTATTAGTACAAGTTTCTGTGTCTTCCCTCATAGATGTTGCTTTCTGTATTCCATGTTGTTAGGTGATTGGCTCATTCAAAATCACGAAGAGGGTCTCTCTCCCATGTTTTCTGGCTTTCTTTATGTATTAACTGCCCATGAGCTTTAAATGGTGTGTACAGGTGTTATGAGTTGTGAATTTTTTGTGTTATCTACCGTGAGCAAATTTTTAGTTGCACAGTGATATTTCGTTTTCCACCCAATGAACCCACCAAACATGAGAAGGGATGGATCAAGGAGGTTCTAAGAAGCAGTCTGTTATAGTCATACAGTGGTTTTGATAATGTTCGACAATTCGACTCATGTTTTTTAAGCATTTGTTGTATTTGCTGATCTGGATCTCTTACCTGTAAAACAGCACTACGGATGTGAGTGTACTGTTTGTGAAGCTGAGAAGGTATTAGCATCTTGAAGTAGCATGGAAGCTTTGGTTTCAGTTTGTTTGGTGTACTTTTCTCTCCTCTAAGCTGCAGTTGTCTAAATTTGCCAGTCAAGAGTTATCAGCTCAGAGATCTTGGTTTTGAGCAACTGTTTGTCTAGCTTTTGTTCCTCTTTCCTCTAAAGTGTCTTATAGCTATTTTGAGAGCGATAGGTACGCAGGACATTTTTTTTGACGAATATACATTAATTCAGTTCCATATAAGCAGTTTTTGCTCCCCAGAAGTGGTGGGAAGTTGGAAGATAGTAAAATCGGTTGTTCCGGAGCATGTTAAACTGAAGAAGTTCCTGGTATGGACACTTGGATTCCTGTTTTGACATTGTTCTAGTCATTTTTGCATGTTCCAAAGTATTCAAATCTCTGGTTCGGATTAACATTACTATTGCTTCTGGTTATTTTGTGGGTGTGTGTTCGACTACACTTGGGTGTTCTAGTCTCCGTACTAGCTAATGTGCTTTCTCCTACGATGTGTAGTAATTTGTTAATCTAAGTGCACCTTGCAGTTTATGGAGGATGAGTGTTCTGTTAGGGCAGCGGTGTCGGTGGTAGAGTTTTAGCTATTGAGTAAAACTAAATGTTCTCAAATTATTGTCTCCTCACATGTACGAAATGCAGTTACTGAATATAGGTGGTCTACAGGGTAACATTCTAACAAGTATAGGTGTGAAGCAACTTTCTATTTTGGGTTGTTATGATGAGTTGGGTATCTCTTTCTTTGGCTTATCTCACATGCTTATTTGGTCTCTTTTGATTTGGGATTGGTATCTGTGGATTATTTATCTGGGATGTGATAAGCTTGAGTTCAGGGAATAACAGGAGATGCTTCCTCTCATATCTGTACAAATGGAAGTTTCAACTCTGGAAGCAGCACTTGATGAAGCATCCTGAAACTTAATGTTGTGTTCTCCTTTGTGGTAGATGTGAGAGCAGGGAAGGACCAAGGTTCCATGCTTGTAGTGATGGAGCTGGTGTAAAAAATTGATTCCAGGGTACATATTGTTCTTTCTTTGTGCAGATACGTCGTAGCTCCAAAACTGGAGAATCTGCTTTCTGGATATTATATATATTTTAAGTTGTTGAAGGTGATATGAAATTGTGGATTTTCACGAATGCAATTTCTTCATGGTATGAGAGGTAAAGATTGAATTGATATTCACGTACTACTCAAACGATCCTCCCATTGCACAATTACCCCTTACACAATCTCATAAAAAGACTAGGGACCAGTTGGAGGCATGCATCTCTGAAGTAATACCTTGGCATTTGAAGTCATGTTTTGCACTAGCCAGGGCCCAAAAGTTGTCTATTGACATTTTTACTTTGTAGCTGCTATACATCTCTGAAGTAGTAGTATCTTGTCATTGGAATCATGTTTTGCATTAGACGGGGCCCAAAAAGTTGTCTATCACGTGACATCATATATGTGATAATATCATTATCATTATTTTTGTCGAAGCACAACTATCTCCAAAGTAAGCTATGAGAATGCTCCACTGTATTCTATCACTGACTTATTTTCAATGAGGTTTGCAGCAATGTACCAAGCACTACGAGCTCTTCTCCAATTTTAAGTTTTGAGAATTTTCCATGATAATAGGATACAATATTATTCAACACCAAGTTTTAAAAAAAATAACAAAATATTCTAGCACCATGACTACGAATTTTGGTTTTGACAGTGTAATTTTGTCCACTTCTTCCAGTTATGAATGTTGCCTAGAAGGGCAGTAGTTCCAAGTGCCAATGAAGTATTTTTGATAGTTCTATATGATCTCACATTGTTTCGTGGTTTTCCTTGTGGTTTCTTTTGTGGTAGTGTTGGTTTATTCGTTGCTACATTTTGTGTTTCGGTGAACCCTTGTAACTCCGCCTGTTAAATCTGCCGGTCCCAAGCCCGGACTAAGGAGGAGGGAAGGTGTTGAAGTTGCAATTAGATCTTTTTAATTAATAGAAATGTTATTTGGTGGACCATATGGAAAGAAAGGAATTCTGGGAATTTTGATAACAAGAGTAGCCCTCTGCACAAGATTAAAATGAACTGCATTATCACTTTTTGCTATTTGTGTAGTTCAGAGTATATCGATGACCTTGTGGCTATTGTAGACATTCTAGGGTCCTTATAAAGGTGAAAGGAGGATCTAGGGATAGTTCTCTTTTTTCTTCTTTCTTTCTTTATCTTTTGTTTATGCTCGACACACGTGTGGAGGGAGGATATGATGTAAATTTTTGGATACCAACTTTGAGCTGATGATTGATATACAAATGTTACCTTTATAAAAAAAAATTAATAGAAATGTTTCTGAAGTTCCCTTTGAGAACTTCTCCTTATTTGTCCTGAGCAACTCAAATGGAACATGTGCTCCCTTGGTCAGTGTTGTTCTCGTTATTTTATGACGTCTCTGATAACAGTTATCACTTGCTGGAATTTACATGGTGGTTAGATGAAATGTCAAGAGATGTGTTAGGGGCTTATTAGTCTGAGTGTCAGGTGTTCTTGCTTATCCTGCAATTGGTAATTAGAAATTGCGGTAAGTTAATTCTTGCTTCAGTGAGAGTCTAAATCCCAATGTTTATGATGAGTTAAGGCATTGCAGTCTTGCAGCGTGGTTTAGTGAACGGTGCTGTTGAAAAAGTTCTCACTGCCGTTGCGATTTATTTATGATTCGCTTGACACTGGAAATACTGTCCCCTTATTGGCTAGCACAGACTCCACTTTCGATGTCTTACCTGTGTCGGATTTTCCAAAAATACACTACTCTTGCTTCAGTGAGAGTCTAAATCCCAATGTTTATGATGAGTTAAGGCATTGCAGTCTTGCAGCCGTTGCAATTTATTTATGATTCGCTTGACACTGGAAATACTGTCCCCTTATTGCCTAGCACAGACTCCACTTTCGATGTTGTACCTGTGTCGGATTCTCCAAAAATACACTACTTTTGGAGAATTCGACACGCATCCGCGTACATTGTTGAAGAGTCCGAGCAATATAGCTTATTGGTGTCTATAGATGGTTTCCAATTCAATATTCAACTAAAGATTTTTTTTAAGCCTGGCAGCGAATGCATATGTCTGTTGTCTAATCAAGAATCATGTGTGAGCCATGCAACGCATGGACGTGTCTGTTCAAGAATCATCAGTGTGATTCTCTCTCGATCAAGTATATATATATATATATCCTCAAACGGCTGATACGTCTTGATTGATCACCCATTGCAAGCTGATACTCTTTTTAACTGTTTACTTTTTGTTTGCGAGGTTGTTCGTGGATGCTCCTGGTAGTGTTTGGTTGATAATAAGTCTGTTCATGTAAGTTCATGTGTCAAACAATTTTATAGTTGTGAAATGCAACACTGGATGCAAGAACACCCTAATATCACGTTGTTTACTGTGGGAGTGCAACATGTAATTTAAGAACCTCATAAGTTTAAGATGAAGTATGCCATAGTATTTTGGTCTTTCAAAGTCGATTGAATTATCTCAGGTTCCTCAGGAAGGTATATAAAATGACGTGCTCAACATTCTGATTATTCTTTAGCTGAAGTGGTTAGTGAAGTTGTTTCTTTCTTTTGTTGCTTCCATCATGAAGTTGTTCACTGGTAATCCGTCTAATTTAAGTTCAAGTTTTTTCTGGTTTGATGCTTTAACACAACACATTCATGTAGATAAATGTTTCAAATAATAATTAATGGGGATTTGAAAATAACGTGATACCATATGCCGGGCTACTCTAAGCAGTATCCATTTTGTCATGTGAGGGGCATACTCTAAGCAATATCTGTAGGCTACTAATTCAGGAAATATGGTCAAATTAATACGTTGCTTTTCATATTAGAGGGGGACATAGAGGGAGGTGAAATCACATCATCACATGGTACTTGGCATTTTTTTTGAGCATGTTGCTTATGATGTCTTTTAGTCTCTTTTCTGATGCACTATTAGGAGTCGTTTGGTAGAATGTATAAAAATAATACTCAATAGAGTGTATTGGTAATGCTTGTATTAGTTATGCATAAATTATTTCTTGTGCATTGTTTGGTTTTGTACTAAACATAGTATGCATTGTATAAAAATATTTATTTACAAAAGTATCCTTCACAATTATGGTGGAAAGATGTAAAAGTACTTTTGAGGGATAATTGTGTCTTTAACCATATTAATGCATGTATTAAATCCTTTACTAATACCTAGAAATCCATGGTATTAGTAATACACTCCTTAATACACATTCATTAGTTATACATAGCATGAAATTATTCACCAAACAAGGAATTACTATAATTAATGCATGCATTATTTTTGCTAATACACTTTACCAAAAGACCTCTAAGAGTTCTACATATATTAAGATTTTACAGGTCAAATTCATCAAAGTAGCTTATTTTGGGTGTGACCGTCACATGATGTATTACTAAAAACGATTGCTATCTTTGTGAATATTCACAAAAACCGTTGTGTTTGGCTTTCTCCAAGGATAGTTCTGTCTTGCCCGCGGGTACTGAACTACATGCGGGGGATCGATGTATCACTGTTAGTGAGGCTTGGTCGAGCATCATGGTAGCAGAGCCATAGGGTGCTAAAACTAAAAGAGCTCAACTGCACTCACATTTCTGAATTGTTCTTGACGTGTGGAATTCATTAGCTTTATGTGGTACCTTTACATTTTTAAGCTTCAAGGAGTCATTGGTACTATGTTTCTGAAGAGTTTTTGTATTACATTGGTAAGGCCTATTTATTTACTCTGAAGCTGGGAAGGACAGAGAATTGACAACAATACGGAACAGTTTTGGAAGATCATTTTCCCACTTGCAATATGTGGAACGTATGGAGGGAAATAAATAGAAGATGTTTGATGTGAGAGAGCCAAAAAATTGTATCTTTTGTGAAATACAAACATATATAGAAGGGAATTTACTGTTGTTGGGCTAGTAATATTCGTTTTGGAAATTTTGGATTCCGTGGTCGAAGGGAATTTAGTCATCCTTCTGTTCTCTTGTATTTTTGCAGTACCAAGGGACTAAGTCATTAATAAACTACTTCAGGTATGCATTTTCTGGCAATTATAGTGGTCTTTTCTGAATGATTTATGTGGTGGATGTGCAAGAGCTACTTCAGTACAAAATAGTGTACTCATTCTGCTCATGGCATATGTTGGTAATATACTTGATGAGATGACTGTGAGTTATGAATATTTTTGAGGTTCTCCTCCGTTGGAAATTTACCCCCCGAGGGTTGTTACAGGTTTGAGTTTTACAGTTGGCACAAGCTTTCTTTGCTAGCTACTGCTTGCTAAGTTGTCCTGGATTTTCTTTCAGGTAGGGGTGGACATTCTGTTCTTTGGTTTTTCGGTATTTATGCATATCCCTACTTTCATGTGACCTTGTGTTTATGGTCACTTGCTGCATCCCTTCTCTAGATATGGAAATAAATTCACCGAACTTAATAATCCCCCACCTTTCAGTTTTCCTTGTGGAACTTCATGTAGGTCAAGTTTTGTTCTCTCCAATTTTCACTCACTTTTGTGTAATTCATTCATATTTTCAAGTAGTAATATGTGTTTAGAGTTTCCTGGTTTTATTAGCATGGATGATTTTGTCATGTAGTTTCTTTCATTTGCCAAGTGGTTTCTGGTCTAGATGTGTTTGTAATGTTTTTTTTTATGATGATCTTTAATATTTTGCGTAAGAGCTGTTCCCTAGCCTTGTAATAAGGATGGTTGTTGGTTGTCTGTTCTAATAGTTTTCCAGAGCTTTTGAAGATGTTATCTTCTTATGTTTGAGTAGTAGGGTGGATTCCTGTCACGACCCGGGAGCACCCGCTAGTCGTAACCGGCGTACTCGACCTCGAAGAGTCTAATACAAGCCTCTTAGCATTCATTCATCGCATAGACACTAAAACCATAAGGAATTTAAAACTTTCTTTACCAAGAAAACATTGCATAAAAAAAATAGCAAGCGGAAGACTTTCTAGACTTTATACATGATGTCTCAAAACCATCTAATACTTTAGAGTACAAAATTCGGGACTAATCCCGTACACAACTTAAACAATACTAAAAAGACATAAAAGAACATATTGGGTATTGTCCTCGAATCTATGAGGACTCACCAAGT